TGTTGGTGTTGTTGTTAGTGGTTTACAGGACATTTTAGTTGGATTTACCTGTACTTTAAAAAATTTATTTTTTCCTTTTCATTGTCTTGGTTTTTGCCAGTTTATAATTCTTTAAAATTTGACAGTCTGGGTGCCCTGCCAATGGGGTGGAGATGTGGGTAGTGAGGGGGGGGGGGGCGGTGGAGGTCCTTGAATATCTGTGTATCCACTTCTTACCACGGACACAGTTCCTCCTTTCGTCACTCATACACTGCACCCTATAGTCACATCAGGCTTTATCTGAGGTGAACTCTACCCCATCCTCCCGGTCTAACACTTTCCACTGTATATAGCAATATTATCTCTGGAATAAACCTTAGTCCTGAGATGCTGACACTGTATGCTGTACTTCGCATGAACCTAATCAAATTCAATGAATTACGTTCATGTTTGTACGGTACCTGAATCATTTTAAAACAGCTAATGGAATTTGGATCGACTCAGCTGTTTTTCATGCCTGGCTCAGTTGGGAATAACAGCATTGATTCAGATGCTGAACTTCACCGGTGCACCAGTGAACCGCGATATTTTTTGTCATGATACAAATATTGATGTTTAAACAACATATGGCGATATTATGATATTATGATTCTTCATCAACATTCAGAAATTACTGTCTTTAATGACTCCTTATACAAATTCAAGCTTTTTTTATAGCTATTTATTAAACAACGGGACAAGAAAGTTCCATCCTTGCTTTGTATAACTTTGCATGCTTCTGATCCGACACTTATTTTTCATGATGGTAGCACAAACATATGTGTACATTGCATAGTTCCAATTAGTTGTCAGCTGACAGTCTTGCATGCTGATGGGTAAAACACACTGTTCGAGAACAAGTTAGTTCTCAGTTCAAGTCTTCAAGTCGTTCAAAAACAGGTCAAACACACATTTCTTATTTTCTAATTTTATTTTAATTTCAATCATTTTAATGATTCTATTGACAGCTGTTAAAACAATCAGTGCTACAAATAGATAGCTTCTTACTATGAATTCATTCTTGAGTTTATCACACTATTATTGTGCTCTGTTAATGACAGTTTTATTTATTACCATGCTTTGTTATGAATGGAAATAAATGATTTCAGAGCAGTTTAGTAAGATTACGCCACTTGTCAGTTGTATGTAGTGAACTATTGTATCGTGTATCGTATCGTTTCACCTGTATCCAGACATGTATTGTATCATGAGAAAATGTATCGTTGCAACCCTACACTTGAGCCAAACCAAATGCATAAATTTTAAAAATGTAGTTTACCGAAATGCTAATATTTTCCCTTTTGAATTTAGTTCAGCTGTAATAAAGTTTGGTGATGGAATCAGTTCAGCTGAGTCGGCCTAAATCGGAATTTGATTCGGCTCATGTGAAGTACGGCATCTAAATTGGACCTTTTTGTCATGGTTTAACATGTTTGTAACAATGATTCTTTTGACTTAACAGAAAGTTCAGAACAATGGAACACTTTATATTCATGTTTACATAACCAAACGTGGAAGATTTCCAGATCCCTTGCATTCCAAGTTCAACAGGCTGGCTGTTGTAAATAGATCTATGTGTAAGTACTGGCCTCAGTGTCTTTATGGAGAGCAAACTTAATCAATGTTAGCTATTATATATCCCATTAATCGATGGTTCTGTGTTTATAGAGTTAAAATTCATGTGGCTTACTTTAAGTCACTAGTGTAGAATTTTTTATAAAAGAAGCTCTTATTTCTTATGCAGTGATTTTTTTCCTTAACAAAACTAAGCCATTAGCAGAGCGGTTAGATCTCCTGTTCTGATGTCTCTGTGCTTTTGGAAAGTAAGGCCTGTCATGTTATTCCCTTAACAATCTCTAATGGACACATGTTCTATTTTTTCTTTAGTGTTGACAGTGTTCAGGAAGAAACGAGTTCATAAAACAGTGAATTTGTTGACTGGCAAGGCAGATGCCAATCCAGATATTGTAGATGTGGTTAGTTTGGATGTAAAATAACAGTTGTTTACTTACCTGGTATTAACTTTTAAATGGTAACCAGTACTCTAGATCCCTCTAGTTATATCCTTTCGAGTGTAACTAATAATGTGGGCCTCGGAGCCTGAGCCATTTTTTTCAAGCCTCGGGCCTCTGTTTGTGAGCTGCTGTTTTTTTGCAAAATCTTTCTATTTTATATTATTTTCACTTTTGTAACCCTTGGTCACCTTTCTTCCTCAGAGATTTTTAACAGGGTAGACTTCTATCTACATGTATAGTAAGAAAATTTAGACCTTTTGTCCAGTGGGTGTTGATATGATAGTATTGAAGTTGAGGGGAGGCATAAAATACAATCCTAGGTTACTCCAAAACTAATATTAAATTCTCTCTTGGATTTAAAAGCATAGAGAAGGGGAAATTAGAAGATGCATCTGGTAGTTGATGTGAATTCATTTTAATATAGAGGGGCTTCTTTCTGGCAACCCACCCTTCCCATTGTTAATTTTCATTTTGGTTCTTTCCCTCTACAGCAATCGCCAGAAAGTAAAAAACCTGCTGAAATTATTTCATACTGGCACCCAAACCTCACAATTAACCTAATGGACGATCAAACACCATGGGTCCAGGGCTCCGTTCCACAACCGATGGATGAGTGTATGTCATGAACTTTCCCTTCTGTTTTGTTTTTTTATTTTTCTTCGATTTGGTGATGAAGAAGGATGGTAAAAGCTTTGAGTGGAATCATTTAATTGTCTGATTTGTCTGACAATATATTTTGGTTTGTTTCAGTTCTTATTTTTGAAAACATAACTGG